ACCTACATACCGCATTGCTACATATGTCTATAATATACATACTCAACCATATGGCGATGGCGAAGACTTCCGTTAACGAAATAATTAACATTCTAAACAAGAACTTAATATTACCTATACGTAATACGTCATTCTATGAGAATCAAAATTAAAATAATGTTACTATAATTTCAATATATACGATAGTAAAACGCAAACCCATTTATAGACACTATTAGCTGTATATACCTATAATAGGTACATCATAAGAAGTGTGTTGAAAATAAGTTTTCTTCGAATCAATATTTGCATACTATACTGTTTCCGCAAGTTTGCAGTACAAAATACAGACACATTATATTATTGGTCATATATTTGTTTATTAAATATCTATAAATAAATAATTTTACATTTTAACGTTTCTCTACGGTTGATCGATTTAGTTTAAATCGCAAACCTATATAAATTTATTATTTTATATAAAATAAAATGTCTATGACGACGTGTAACGGAACTTGTATACGCATACCTTTTGGAACTATACCTATATAAACTAACAACACTAACTATATTGTCTTATTATTATTATTTTTAAAAGAGTTCATTACAAAATATTATACGCGTTCAGAAAGTTTGTTTTCATGCAAAAACGCTTCGCACGGTTGCGTGCTTGTAACATTTCAGTAATTGTTATACATTATATTATATCTTAGTAAAACACTTATAGTAATAATGATAAACGTATGTATATAACAATGTGTACTTAGTATTTACTATATTATAATCTATGCATATGGCAATGTGTATTTTTATTTTATTAAAACATTCCATATACATACACCGATACACCTATGCATTAATTTGTATTCATCAATTAAACAGTTGGCCAATAACGAMAAGTGAATTTTATTGACAATAAAATAAAAGATATTCATGTTTAAACAATAATATCGCTACCGGTTTATCGACGAGTCGGGACGCTTATATTTTGGGAGTTCACAAGAACCTGTTTCCTATATTATTATATATACCTACCAACAATAACGGACGTAATAAAAATGAAATTATGAAATATTTAACACACCCCCGTAGATATACCGTGAGCGAAATGATTGAACATGTCAATTTATTTCGAAAATTCAAATTGTTAAATGTACCTATACTACCTATAATATGAACGTGACTTGATATTCCTCAATTAATCATGATGAAAACGAATGCGTATACATTATTGGTTTATAAGACATATATTTGAATGTGTTTTTTTATAAATCCTTCATGAAAAGTTTATTTAATGAATAAAAATGAAAATTGTGTGTAGCCTATAATATATACGTTAGGTTAGTACTATCTATTCGTGCTTGTCCTTATTGTTAATTTTCAAGGTAATTTCGCAGTGGATTTAGCATTTTGAGCACATAAAAGCCGATTTTCAGCGATGTAGGTATATGTCGTCAAGGTTTACATATAATTGGACTCGTGCAGTATAATATAATATAACATAATATATATATATTAGAAACCCGGCTTCCATCGTCATCTATCAAATGAACTTTGTTTAATCAAAAACCTCTTCAGCGTAATGGAAGCCCGTGAACTAACTTTATCTATCCCGCGCCAGTGGCCCATATGTATACATATAAATGTTGGCAAACTTGCCAAACATCGACGTGAGAAAGCTGTACAGAATCCGAAATTTATTACGAGCTCGAACTTCCAGAATATCGCATTATATACGTACCGGTCGGATGATAGCCAAGACGATCCGCTTAACGTTCAATAATAATGGTTTTACTACGACGAATACCGCAATTTACTCGACAGAGATGGTCACATTATTTAAAAAAAAAAATCAAWAAATCTCGAATCTGTGTTYGCGACTGCCCAAATATTTACGGGAATTAATAATAATATTAATATCACGACAATCGCTGTTTAGCATAGGTACTTAAGCTGTATACTTTATATAGCACGCACATATGCATGATAATTAATAAATAATAATAATATACGAAATCTTTTTCAAATTTTTAATGATATATATCGCCAAAACATCAAAACATAGTACATATTATACATACAATTACCAAATTTAAATTCTCCACACGTCGAGCCGATTGCGCACGTCTGACGATGATGGCGCCTTATATTATTATTGGCATACCTACCTATATATTATATAGTTATATAGACCGTTCGTGGCGCTACGATTTCCCGCTAATATAATATTATATATAACGACAGTATTATATACATATATGTACTCAGACGCGTAATTGTGCCATCGCCGTCGTCAGTGTATAATATTATTATATGATAATAAAAATTCAACGTCCTAGATTTTAGTGTCGCCGCCCGACGTGTGTTTTGCACATCGTTTTTTATTTTATTTTTCCCTATTGGTCGCCTTCGGTCTTGTTTGTTGCGTTTTTTTTTTTTTATCATCATTATTGTCGCCATTATTTCTATTACCATTGTCATATCGTCATTGTCGCCTATAACGTCTCATAACATAATAATAATAATAATAATAATAATAGTAAAATAATACTCATATATATGTGTTGTATACGACATTACACGTTTTAGAGATGCCATTTCAGCGGCGATAGAGAAAGGTTTTGTCGGAGCGCCTATCGTGAGAGTCTCCGTCTCCGTCGTCGTCATCGTCATCGCGYGACGTCGGCGRACGCGTTAATTCAATTTTAACGAATTGTTATCCGTTTGACACGGTCTACCAGAAACACGTCCCCCGCGTTCTTCTCTTGTCAGGAAAAATAATAATAATAAATAAATAATGTAACGTATGTGACAGCTGCCCCGTAACATCGTCGTCATTATTTGTTTCCACTTAAGACAAGGCATTTCATTGGTCAACTGTATATAATATGACGTATATACTCGATAAAGTATATTATGTATATATATACGCTGTTGGTACTTATATTCTATAATAGCACTTATATATTGTATTTAAAACAATTATACATATACACATTTTCCCGATTTAAACATTTTTCATTTTCGACAAAAATGTATACACTGAAATACTTAGAATTTTTTTTATGTCAAATTTAAAATTTTTCATGATCGATTGAAATCTAAATGTGATTCTTACTTTACACAACCGTACGAGATTATATTTTGTACAACTATTCAGAATATTGTTACCTTCATGCTACTATAGCAAATGACTTTAAAATTCCCATATATAATTGGATTTTCTCGAACGATTAAATTCTGTATAGATATTAGATACCAACTACAAATGTTCAATGTTTAGGACTATAATAAATATTATTAGTACTATATATAAGTGAAACGAGTTTTTTAAAGTTTAAGTATATCAGTGGACCAGTTTTCAATTATTCTATTTGAGATTTATACTGGAAGCGAAAAACGTTGTACGTGCGGCAGTATCAACTGTGATTCATAAAAGTTATCGCAATTTCGTTGTCGCCATAATGGCGGTCTCTGAAACATAGTAACTGGGGTAACATAAAAACAATTCGTTCGGTTATGATTCGGTTATTATACAAATATTTTTTTTCCTCTCCAAGACCCYTCTTGGACCAACTCTGTTTTGGCGAAAATTAATTTTTCCTCCCACTCGCCGCTACCTCTTAGACCGCCAGAAAACTACTTCCACGCTCCCGATTCTATTATCTAGTCTCGTCTTTATGTTTTTCCATAATATTCTTGTATGATTTACGACCGTCTGAAGTGCATGCACGCTRCGAGATAAAAATCCTCGTGGAAACAGTTACTCTGTTGTACAGTCCAATATTGCCATATGTCGTGGGGACATGATTTATAATGCGATTGCGAAATTGTTTTAACTCAATATGCGGTTTTTTTCCCTCGGGCTTGCATAATATGAAATATATACTGTAGCYATACAGCACTGGTTCCCGTTGGTACTATTGATCAGCGAGGGGGAAATATAGATATATTATATATTAGTTTTTATCTACAGTTTTTCGGTTCGTAAACAATACGCCTGTTGTAAACTTATGTTTCAATTCGAGAACTTTGAAAGTGTGTTTTTAACGCCCTACGGTGTATCAAACTTTTTACCCCGGGCTTCGGAAAAGCCAATTTTCAACTTTTCGGTAATCGAAAATACAACCACTCCCCTGTGGCGTAAATCTGTTTCCGAAATAGTTCAAATCACCCGGAATGTGAAAAAAATATTCTCTAATAATCTAAACCCTGAGGGTTTAAAGTATTTTAAAAACACCTAAAAACTATCATTTATACATTATACTTGCGCACGCTGCACACACAAAACGTATAAGGTTACTATATAGTATATATAGACACACTTATATAGTTATATTACACAATWTATATAAATAATTTTTTTTTAGAATTATATTTTTGATAATATCGATATTTAAAAAAATATATTACGTGCAATATGTCAATATAAATATGCCATGAGCAAATTTAATTGTTGCCTGCATACGTCATCATACGATAGGTAATACCATATGTACCTATACGAAGTTTTTGAGAAATCAGTATAACGAATTGTAATAGTTTTCCACCGCATAGCATACMTATACTTATTACTTATACGTATAATTTATAATTTTGATTCATCAAAAMTTATATTTAATATCAATGAAAATTTACATGATTAGTCATGCGAAACGTATATCATGCATGAAAGAGTAGGTAGTAATAGACAGAAATTTAACGAAATATAATAGTTCTATAAGGGGTTATATAATATAAACATTCAATACTTATACACTATGTAAGTACTTATGTACTATATATATATATATACCAAACGACATGTATATAATATGTGGCGATGCGTGATATCACATTGATCCTTATAATTACGAGTAATCTGAAATTCACGACTAGGCAATTTAAGTGGTAACATTTAACTCACAAAAAATCGTCAGAGTATCTTATTCAGGGGCGTTCTGATAAAATATATTTTTATTATCAAGTTATCAATATATGTTTAAAAAAACCATTTTAATCATGTGATAACGTTTATATAGGTGGAGTTGATGGAGACAGCGCAGCAGGTAGTTCGGAAGACCTGGCCAACAAACGGCGAAGGTCCAGAACAAATTTCAACACGTGGCAGCTGGAGGAACTGGAAAGGGCGTTTTTGGCCAGCCACTACCCCGACGTGTTCATGAGGGAGGCTTTAGCCCTGCGGTTGGACCTCAAGGAGTCCAGAGTGGCTGTAAGTATATATTATGTATGTATTTATATATACATAATATTATATAAACGCAACAAAGTTATTGTACCCGCGCGAGAAATTCGGATTTTTTTTTTATCTTTTATATATAAGTTCCCTCGAGTATCCCTCTCGCCCAATATTTTGATTTAGAACCTCATTCCCGATGCTTGTTTCAGCCAACTTAGGGTTGGTTTTTGTTAGTCGTTTTTTTTTTTTTATCGTGAGGGGTGGAAAGTGCATATACAAACGGTTCTGTGTATGGTTAAATAATTTACGCCACCATGTTGCAGTCCAGAGCATACAGTCAGAACACGTCCCTGGGGTGTAATACGTTCTGGTCTCGGGACCGCAAATTCCGGAGGCGAGAAATAGACGATAAACTTTAGTGTGCGCGTATATATACCTATTCATATGTATATATGTATATACACATAGGGCCTATGCTATCTTACTATATATATATATACACGTGTGTGTGTGTGTGTGTGTGTGTGTGTGTGTATTTATATCGAATTATTATGGAATTTAAAGGTGATTTGTTCTCGGGAACTTTTCTCCAGTTTATGGTAAATTGTTAAGATCAAGTGTCGGCATATATATATAAATCTATTATAAAATGGCATAGGATTTCATGCTTTGATATTATCTGCATTGTTGCTGTAAGTACCGAAAAAGGTATTTATTATTTGATCCTCATCTGTTTTCTGATTTTGCAAAGGGGGGGGGGATTATTATTGTTGATAATTTATAATCGTCTGAACTATGTCATATAATTTAACACCTTATTGTTATAATAATATAATTAGATACTGAAACAGTGCGTAAATGTTCTTACCTATAAAAATAACGAATTTATTTTCACAGGTATGGTTTCAAAACCGACGAGCGAAATGGAGGAAAAAGGAACACACCAAAAAGGGACCGGGTCGACCGGCGCACAACGCACATCCGGTGACTTGTTCCGGAGAGCCAATACCTGCGGACGAGTTACGGCGTAAGGAGCGCGAACGGCGGCAGAAAAAGTTGCTCAAGAGCTTGGAACGACAACAGAGGAAGTTGGCTGCCAAAGGAGTGCACGTTGACTTGGACACGCTGCGCAAGGAATGGGAGTCTCAGCAAGCTAACAGTAAGTGGTGTTTTCCATACGATAATACGTAATACATATAATATRTTATTAAAACGTACGCGATGTGTATAGGTACAATAAAACTATTATCATCGATTTCGCCGTGTCGAATTCCTTATTAGTAGTTTTTAAACAGCCATAATATTGTGTATTATGTTCTTTATACTTTTCTTTTAATTAACGTTATGCAATCTACAAAATAATAACCTATATAACCTACCTATATAGTATAGTATGTTATATGTTCAAAACGTATAGCGTAGGTATATGAGTAGATACACTACATTTAATATAATAAGATTAATAACATTATGCCTACAATATATAACATGTCGTTGTACAATGTATACGACACTTGGTCCCATATCAGCGTATAATTATTTTAATTCATTCTTTGAATCGTTCGCATGGAAAAAAACTATTTCACTGTTTCGATGTCTATAACACTCATCTTGAATTCTCCAAGTCGACAGTATATATACCATTTACGACTACCGCATGGTATACAATATGCGTTTCGTTACGGTTATTGGAAATGTTCTCATGGCACTAAACTCTATGCGTATAGTGCGTTACTTGAACGAAAAACCAATCAAAACGACCTCGTTAAATGGTCTTTAAAAGTGTGGACCATACCCAGTATCCAATGGAATTGTCGGGTTCTATATATAATAAGATTAAGAAGTCGAACCGAGAATGATATGTGCATGCAGCTCTCAGAGTATATTAGGTATATATTATTATCATCACTATTATACTCTATGAATATAAAAATAGTTATACTTATGGCCGTTTTTGTTAGTATTTAGTTATAGTATTCGATTTTCACGAGAAATGAACGCATGCGAAATCATGCTAATATTTAATACACAATACGTATATGTATTAGAGGTATAGCTTCCAACGCTTGTACAATAATGGATATTAAATAAATATGTCGTGACGTGGTGTATGCTATCGTAGTTATAACACAATTTTACATTTAAAAATAATATAAAAGATCATTTGATTAGAATTTTCTTTAAGTTGTGCATTTTTTCAACCGTGATTTGTTTTTGAAAAAAGCATCGTCTTACAATGATATTGTGACACGGTAAATTTAATTGCAACGATTTTTCTTTTCCATTACATTTTTTTCTGACTACTATATACCTATAAACACACTTATTCCATCACGTTTAATATAGATATTTTATTTGGACAGAATTAAGCACAATTATACTACGTATAAGTATTATGTATAATTATCATAGAAAATGGGAATTTCAACTTTAAATCGTATTATTATTGTGGTTTAAATATGGTATCACGAACTATACGGTTATAAATATAAAAATCTTAAAAAATATGTGCTTATATGATGCAAAAATCATGAAGCGAAATCGAATTTATAGTTTGAATATTTGACATTTGTTTGTTCGTATAGACGCGGCCAAAAAACACAGTCAGATGGATTGCGGAATGGTCGGTGGAGGAATGGACGGAGTCGGTGGATCGTCRAACGCCGGTATGGATCTGTCTTTTCACGACTCGTCGAGCTGTTGCAGCGGACAGACGAGCCGGGACGAGGAGATCGACGTGGTCGGCGAAGAGGACCACCTCCTGCACCATCACCACCAACACCAACACCACCACAGGATGTTACACCACAGGCGGAGCGCAAGTACGACGTTCGACGACGACGACGATGACGATTTGGACGAGGACGAGGACGAGGGACTGCCGCCGTACGCGCGCGCGGCTGCGGCTGCTGCGGCGGCGGCGGTAGCAGCAGTAGCGGCCGCTTGTCATCGGGGCAACGACAGCTGTAGTTCGGACGACGAATTCAGCGGCGGGCGTTTGTACAGCCGGACACCGGCCGCTGACGGCGAATCGTCACCCCCGCCACCTCTGCTGAACCTGACCACGTCGTCGACGGCCACCGCGGACAAGGCCCGTCGTCTGAACCCGTTCAGCATCGAATCCCTGTTGGCCGGTGGCAATCGACCGTTCAGCATCACCGCCGCCCACGTCAACAACATCAACAACAACAACAACATCAACAACAATAACAACAACAAAGCGTGAACCACCCACGTACCTCATCTTATACATTCCCACCGTTTGTTTGCATAAGCGTTGTCGTCGTCTTCGTTTGTCGTCAACGTCATCATCGCAGGTTCCTATACGAGTATRTGTTGTAATAATATGATATGATTCAGTCGAGTCTCGATAACTCGATTCTCAAAGGGGATAAAAATAAATTCCACTTGTGTATTTTTCRAGATACATACTTACCTCGAACATAAGCTAAAAAGCAACAAGGGGCGAGAAAAAACTTGGATTTATCGAGATCTTATATAGAGCCAACGAGGTTCGACTTATCAAGACTACTCTATACTGTAAATGTTTTAGATATTTAATTTTATCGCAGATCGATGGCCAATGATATTTTGTCCGTAAAAATTACGTTTCGCGATTCTTTGACTCAAAATTATTTGATTTTTATTCTGGAGACTCCAGCAACAGCGTATATAAAATATTGGTAATTCAGATGACACTTGGCTGCAGGTGAACAATAGATCATCGTAGTTTGTATAATATAATACGCGTTACGATATTAAATTTTRGTTAACGTTATTATTATTTTCCAAATTTTTCATTCGATCGTGAATCGATTTCGTACATCATATTTGTATTACGGTGGGTTATACTTATGTTGTACATAAATAAGCACAACAGAGATTCGACCCAACGACCAACCGGACAAGCACGCATTTTTTTGTTAATCACTATTATTATTATTATTATTATTGTTATTCTTATTTGTTATACAATTATTTAACTTGTGTACCACCTGTATGGCCATTTGATGACAACGCGATCAGGAAACCCCGTCCGGATAGTACCTCCTATACATATTAACATGATGCAATGCGAAAACACATTGGAACCCGCGTTGATCAATATATCATATTATATTGTTGTGTCGTAATACGTCATACTATTTATTTACTGTTCTCTGTACAGATCTATATATTAACTCCCCGTCCGTAATAAACAGCCCATTAGTATAATAAGTACGACAAGATTCTAGTCAATAATATACATATACATATATGTTGTAAGTTAACACATTGTATATATTATAATAATTGTCGTACCTATATATTATATAATAATAATAATTATTATTATTATGAATTTGTAAGTAATATTTATAGTTAAGACACGTTTATGATAGTGTTTATTTAATTATTATTATATACGATATATACCGCGGACAATATATGTATACTCATTACTCATATARTCATATGTAATGATTTTTTTATTTTTATTTTTTTGTTAAGCGGCGCACGATCGAACGTTGGTATATCTGTAAATTTAAACACGCGAGTGCAATAAGTGTGTATATTATACCTAATATTATACTACCTGCGTTTATAGTTTTGTGTACGAGTCCGAAGAAACGTATTTATAATATTGTATTATTACATTATATTATTATTGTATATAAATATTTCTTATTGTTTTCGTCCACTTGTCGTAGACAGACCTTCCCTCTCCTCGTTGTCGTGGGGCACGAACAGTAGTGAAAGAGTGACGAACGGAAAGATAGAAAAAATTAAACTTATCGTTTTCGATCGCTACCGTTCTCGTGCCCTAAACATATACTTACGTATATATATATATATATATATATATGTTATACATTATATATACGTGCATCAATCCCTTATTCCGGAATGACTTGTATAAACGCGTTTTTACGTTAAGGTTTTTATTATATATTACGTATACGATTGTATTATAAAACGAAATAATAATCATAATAATAAAAAAAAGTTGAATTATTATTATTTCATTTTTTTTTTTTTTATGGATGCATAGAAACGTTTTTTTCCCTCCATTTCGTTTATACCATCGCACACAATACAGGTATATATAATATTAAATATACCAGTGCACAGGTACACACCGGAGGAGGACCGCCTCAATGCGATAATAATTTAATAATAATTATATCGTTTCCGACGGAAAGTAAAAAAAAAAAAAAAAATACCGCTCCGTGTATTATTGTACGTACGGCAGACGATCAAACTGCAGTCACATGTACACGTTCGGCATGAGTATGTATACAACGACTCTCGCGCACAGGTGTACTGCAGCAGAAGAGGAAAAGACGAGGAAGAAGAGGTTCGTATATAACAATAATAATAATAATAATAATATTATAACAACATAACGTGTAAAGCCACTTTATTCTGACATCTGTGTGTGTACGTACGTACGTTTTCCGCGCGGTGCTACGGCGACGATGAAGACATCTTTTACAATTAGTCTCGGCTGCCGCCGCCGTCGGTGTGAAGACATTAAGTGTGTTGTACGTTTGACAGGCACCCAACACCTCGTAATATTCAACACCTCTCCGTCACCCGCCTCCCTGCCGACCGTCTCGTCTTCGTGTATATGCGTCTATATTATATTATTATATACTCACTTATTGTTGTTGTTGTTGTTTTTGTTGTAATAACGATACACGACGACCGGTCGCGTCCAAATCAGTGGTGCCCAAATACGATAACATTACACTCTCGTACATTATTCACATGACGATCACGACGGAATTTCAGAGAAAATAATCACTTTTTGAGGTGGATATCGATATAAATCATTCGATTTTACGTGTTATAATAATATAGTTACACTTAAAACTCAAAGCTTATAACACAATATTCCGTTTTATAAATTATTATTTATTACAGCTATTATACCTATCCACATAAGTGGACTCGATTTTATGAATTTTTGGCCTTAAACCGTCTAATTTCGTCTAATTTTCTTTGGTGATTTTATTCACTTATTGTCTTTGTATAGGTTATATAGAAAAAGAAATCAATAATTTTCGAAATCCATTAACACCGGTATTTTTTCTTTTTCTTTTATTTACTTTAACTATATTATATAGTACTTTATGTAGACAATGTAAATAAAAGATGATATACCTACTTGACGGACAACGATGAGAATGTAAATAATATTTTACGCGTGTCTGCTTAAGAAAGTTCACGAAAATTGATTTTTTCAAAACGAGAGTAAATAAAAAACCTAACTTAATATGTAGTCATACCTACTCACCTATCCAATAAAGGTATATCGTAAATCAAAGCTATTTCATCGGGGTCCACAAAATGATTAAGCCCGACGCGACCAAACAATAGACAATATTATAATAATACTATGTTTAATAGGTACACGCCTTAAGAAGTTAAACTCGTTTGTTATGTCTTATATGTTATATTATATTAGTACATTATTAGTAAACTACTGCCAAGTGCCGATGTCGTTGTTCGACATTAATGATAACGTATATACGTGATGCCGAGACGGCGAACGATCGGTGATGGGCAATAAATAAACGCGTTGACCGAGTTTGTTAAAATACAAAAACTACCATATTATATTTGAATATCGATTTATGATAAATCGCCGAAGAAACCGGTGGGAAAACAATAAATTGGCTAAAATATACTGTCAACCAATGAACCAAATTAGTTATACTGCACGAGTTCAAATCTGCAGCTGCGCCGAATCGAGGCTACGCCGCCGTGGCACCGCCCAGGTACCTACATATTGTTAAAATTCATAATTTATTATTATTATTATTATCGTAATACGATGTGTATATGTGTATAGAAGCGCCGATGTTTCTATCCATTTTCGACATCACGCCGCCGTCGTCAGTATAATATTATGTGCGAGCGATGACGGGTTCCCCTTGGAGTATTTAATTACGACGCGCATTCCATCGGTATAGTCGCCAACAGTCGAGTACGTGCCGGTGATTTTTTTTTTGTTTTTTTTTCTCGCATCATTCCAAACACACAAACATAGCTTTCATTTAATGATATTAACAACATCATTCGTATCATAATGTGTGTGTAATGTGCGCAGTGTGCGGTTAATCAATTACAAAATAATATAATATTATTGTTTATTAATTATCTCGTTGCCGCGCGCGGATTTAAGAGGRCAAAGCGTACGTGAGACGGCCGMGACGAAAATCATGTGCCTATWYCTATAAACGCCGATACGATATRTACTAATTATTATTCAAATAKCTAGGTTACATTTTAAAGTTTGCATATTTTATTATGTTGTTGACGCGTTATAGTCAAAATATGCTATCATTGATCGAGGGTGTCCGTTTTCGACCAAAATCTTATATACCTTCCCTTTTCAGTCAAAATAAAAAGTTAAATAAATACTTTATGTGATATAAATTATAATACAAATAATCATTAAATATATAGACAAGTTTTATAAAATGAGTAGAACGCATATAAATAATTAATAATAATATAAAATACAATTACAATATTGTCAATAAACGAATGAGCATCTAATATAAAAACATAAAATCAAACATTAAAAAAATGTAAACATGACAATATTATTCCTAAATATGTTGTCTTGACCACGTCTTTACATAATATTATGTAATACTACAGTACCTATGACTATTGAGTCATGAGCATATTTTAAACTTTATGGCTCATAATAGCAAAAATGATTATCGTCAGGAGTCAAAATAACGATTACGGGATCTAAACTATATATAGTTTTTTGTTAAGCATAGCATTTCCCTAAAAGAGATTATTKTTTCAGTTCGTTCAACGGCTCACAGTTAAAAAAATTATAAGCGAGTGTAAAACTGTTTAAAATATCGTACAATATAAAATCATTAAGTACCTAACGTTAGGTACCTTTAAAAATTATAACGTATGTCAAACCTTCGCGATGTATATACTATATAGGTACACCTACTTCCTTGGACTCGGCTATATAGACAAGTTTAAAATGGCAGCGTCCCATAATWGACCATCACGCATATACASGCGTAATAACATTGATTTTATGATAGAATAAAATATTATAAAATCAATGGTATTAATTATTATTATACGATATTATGATATTGGGCATAATAGTCGCTCGCAACTGTTTTTCGACGGAAAAACGCACGAAACGCGTGAACGATGTTATTATTACACCATTTGCGCACTTAAACGGTTATCAAGACCGTCTCTCATTTATCGCGTGTCGATAATTTTTGTACAAAAACCCAATTAAATTTATCTCGTGTTCGATGTGCGGCACTGCAGCGTATATTATAGGTATACCTATATATTCCTATGTATTACATATTATAGTATTAAGGTACCTACATCCCAATGGAGTTAGGGCCCGCAGCATTTATGGGTATAGGTTACGCGGTTGTCATCCGCCAACTGCTATTAGTTTCTTATAAAATTATTATTCGGATGATGAAGACGAACTGAGGTGAACTTGATTTCTCAATAAAACCGCGCCAATTATTCTTTCTAAATTATACCCATCACATATTATTTTATATACACCTATAATATACATATATGTACTGCACCTGGCATAATTATTATGTAATAATATTACATAAAAAAAAATCGGTAGAAGTGAAAATAATAATATGTTATCAAAACAAGATTATATATATATATATATACAGATGTTAAGCCAACGGATAAAAAAAAATATATATAAATACAATTAAGCCTAATTGAGTAGTAGGCATTACACTAAAATGTACTTAAACAGTCATCGATTACCTATATTATATAAAATTATAAACACATTTCTATTAACGGTAAAACACGATTGAGCACGGCCCTTATTATCGGAGAAAAATTTTTAATATTATGAATGGGCACGCTCTTAATTAATACCTTTTTTTGTTCCAACGCTACTAATATCAATCATCTTTATTTAATATTTTGTGACCAATTTTWTAATGAAATTCAATCTGAACACTTTTACATTTTARTTGTAACTTCCACTAAAACATTTTCCTCATTAACGCTTTATAAAGAAATATATTTATAGCACAAGTTGTCATTATTTTCATGAAAAWATCAGAAAAAAAACATTAAGTAATTTATTACTCTAAGTGTATAACTATACTGTAACTGCTTACTGCATGCATGTGTCTAACTCGTAGGTAACCATTTATACAGATGTTCAAGTTAAAGTAACTTATTATTTATTATTATTATTAATAAGGGTATAATAGCCAATATAGGTATCCTGTAAYTTTTGTAATCAGTTACAACTAATCAATA